CATCATCATCATCATCATCATCATCATCATCATCATCATCATCATCTAATGTTTATTGTGAATCGCCCAGAGTTCGCCCAATGGGGGGAGATGGGCGGTTGAGAAATTAAATAAATAAATAAATAATACATACAGTATAAATAGCTTGGATGATCTGTACTTAGATGATATTTCACATCTCACTCCCTAGTGAGATGGGCAGTGACCAAAATTGAAATATAATCAAATTAATAAATAAATAAAAATCTTCAGTGCCTGTTTATTTTAAAATTAATAGAAAGAGAGGATCAGCTAGGAATCAACATACAGCTTTTAACATGACTATCTGGTCATGTTCTTTGTTTAAAGACCTGCCCTATAAGGAACCAGAAGAGTAGACTAATCAGAGGAGGTAACCCAGCCAATTTATACTATTACTTTTAAGCACCATCTGCTCTTGCAACAGAGCTCAGGCTATTTGGTTTAATGAACATTTTATGACAATAAAGCACTTAGGTAGATAGAACATGGGTCAATTTCAACTGAATATGGGCAACAGGCAATTTTAAGGCTTATCTGTTGTAGTGAAGGCAGCAAAAAAAAATTTTTTTTCCCATCAATTCTTCACCATAATATGTTTAAGAGTTTTCCTTCTTAATATTCAGTTTTCTTACTGAGATTCTAAGCACTGCAAGAATTATGAGGTTTTGGTTTCAATAGGAGTTTGGTTTGGTCACAAAAGTGAGAATAAAATAATCCCTTGCTTAGAAAGCAAGGCTGTAAAATACTAACTATCATTGCAAACATTTGAGAAGACAGTATCAAGATTCAGAAGTATGTTGACAAGCTGGAACAATGGGCAGAAACCAGCAAGATTGATTTCAACAGGGACAAATCCAAACACATACATTAGGGTAGGAAAAAGCTAAGCCATGAGTGTAAAATGATGGGGGCAGACTGGGGAGCAGTACATATGTAAGGATCTAGATATTGTGGTGGATTACAAGCTGAACATGAATCCATGGAATGATGCAGCTACAAAAGAGCAAATACAATCCTAGCTGCATCAACAGAAGTATAGTGTCAAAATCAAGTCATCATTTGTCTCTATTCTGCAGACAAAACTTAGAATATTGTGTCCAGTTCTGGGCATTGTGTTAGAAAGGACACCAAGAAATTAGAGCATGTCTAAAAGAGAGCAAGGAACATGATAAGGGGCCAAGAAGGATACACTCAGGAGAATAGTTGGAGGCACAAGTTATGCCTAGCTTGGAGAAGACAAGACTATTATAGCTATCTTCAAATATCTGAAAAAGTGTTGGAAGATGCAGAAGAATTGTTCAGAGTTGTTCCAAAAGACCAGTAAACAGGTTTATATTACAAGAAATTTTTTTGCAGGATATCAGGAAAAGTTTCATAACAAAAGCTGTTCGAAAATAGAATAGATTTCTATAGGAGATGGTCTTTCCTTTGCTGTAGGTCTTCGAACAGAGACTGGATGGCTATCCGTCAGGGATGTTGTAAGAGGAGGTTCCTGCACTGGGCAGGAGTTTGAACTAGATCATGTTTTAATCCTTATATTCTATGATTTTATGAATTATAGGAAACAATGAAGCCATCTACCTAAGTTATAAATATTAGCGGGAGCTAGAAAAAGCCAGCAGGTAAGAATTAATGAAACCAAAACATGCTTAAACATAGTGGTGCTTAAATGTTTATGAACCCTTTTGAATTTTCAATATTTTCCCCAGTGGCTTACAAATAGTACAAAAAATACAATAAAGCAATAACATAAAAATTACAACATAAAGGCAGTGGTGTGAGCAGTAACAGGCACATTTGTTATCCCCATGTGTCAACATCACTATGCAAGCTGCATTGGCTGCCAATAACATTCTGAGTGCAATTCAGGGTGCTGGTCATCACTTATCAAGCCCTTCATGGCATAGGGACTGGTTATCTGAGGGACTGCCTATCACCAATTGCTTCTGCCTACCTGTATGTTCCAGCAGAGTAGGTGTGCTCCGGGTCCTCTCTCTTAAACCTTGTCATCTTGCAGGACCAAGGTAATGTGCCTTTTATGTTGCAGCCCCTCCCACTCCTGGAACAGCATGGATAGCAGCCACTCTGCTGGGATTCTGGAAGGCCCTTCAGGCCCAGCTCTGTTCTCAGGACTGGGGTTAATGTACTAGTTATGAGGCCCTTCTTGTATTTTTATTGTTATTGTTATGACCATTATTGTTATGGCTGTTTTTAGTCTGGGCTGTCTGTTTTCTTTTATGTTTTTTAATTGTTTTAACTGTGAACTTGGATTTTGTAAGCCACTCAGAGTCCACTGGAGTGGGCAGCCATTAAATCATCATCATCATCATCATCATCATCATCATCATCAGAAGAAGAAGAAGAAGAAGAAGAAAATGAAGAAACTAAAGTGCTCTGGGACTTTAGAATTCAAACAGACAAGCACCTGCCACACAACACTCCAGACTTAACAATTATTGATAAGAAAGACAAAAAAAGTCTGGATAGTGGATACTGCAATACTTGGAGACAGCAGAATAGAAGAGAAAGAACTGGAGAAAATCACAAAATACAAAAACCTGCAAATAGAAATAGAACAAGTGTGGCAAAAGAAAGCAAAGATAGTGC